ATATTTTGTGTAAGAGATTATGTATGAATAATTCAGATCGTAAGAATATATTTATAGGTAAATATTTTCTTTTGATTGAATATCATAATGTTTTTACTGCCATAATTATATTCATCTATTTTTTTATGAAAATAACTCCACTAGTTTGTTACTATTATTGATACAAAGATCGAACAGACTCAAAGAAAAAATCCTTCTTATTTTTTATTATTAGATACTTGCTTTTTATAGAAAGATACTTAGTTTTTATTATGAAAATAAAGAATGTACTTAGTGAAGTGACACTGACAGAGTTTATGTTGGAGTATGTAACAACCTTAAAATCTTCTCTGTACCATATAATCACTGCTACGTAGAGGTCCCAGGTTCGATTCCCGGGTCGGGATAAATATTTGCATGGCCTACATTTATTTCTCTCGTGAGTTTGGGTGTAATTTGTGGTTGTCTATGTGTATTTCCATAGCACTCGCGACACTGGATTTCCCTAGTGCGGGGTCATGTTGACTATGTGCGTTATTGTATAATACAATAATTTAGTTTTTTTAGTTTAAAACTCTTTTCTAAATTTTTACTTATTTAACCATTTCCTAAATTAAAATTCTTTCCTTAAGCAATATTAAAAACTAAAAATATAGATATGTAATAAGCACATAGAAAAATTTGTAAGGTCTGCTGGTTCATTCCGTAGCTTAGTTGGGAGTAGCCAGGGTATAGTGAAAGCGCTGGTTCGAGTCGTAATAAAATCAATCTTTGGCTTAAAACGCTATCCAGGAAAGGCGGTTATTATAAAGAAGTTCTATATCATTTGTAAAATGTTACCAATTCACGTCTATCAATTCAGTTTCCCTGCCTTTTGACAACTTTTGGCAGTTGTAAAATGTCAAAGCTCTTTAGCCGTAAGAAATAACATTTTATTCAATTTGTACCAGGATTGCTAACATTAAAGTTTTTTTTTTTCAAAAATGCCACCTTAAAGACATGACGATTTTCTGCAAAAAATGACGGAAAGTTAAACTATTGAAAAAAATTACAATCTAAGATTTAGCCTTTCCCGAAGGCCGATAAATTTTACTACTACTAATTTTAAATTTCCTCATTTTGTCATGATATTCTGGAAGACCGCTCCCTACTATGCATTTTCCCTGAGTTATTAATTTTGTCGATAATTTCGATCGCCCATGAGATCGGTCAGTGTCAGAATGTGATCGTGTGAACAGCCACGTTTTGGTTCTAACAGAGGCTTGGTAATTAAGATTCGTACATAGTAATATGTACTATGCGTTGTTGTAATTAAGTTTATTCTCGATTTTTTTCATGATCAGGGTCATATGTTCTCGATCCATTTCACATCTGTATAGGTCTACATGGTACTCGAAAGCTTGAGCAGATATTACCTCTTTGGTTTATTTAATTCTATATTAAACTGACTAGTTTTTATTGTAAAATAAGTAAGAAACTCAGAGAAAGGCATTGTCCTATATGCATTACTTCGTTGAAATTTAGATAAATATGTTTTGCCTTACACGATCTCTATTTCTAAGTCATGTGCTCAGTGCATCGATTATTTTTACGGGGACTAACATGTTTATTTGCTTTTTTTGCTTACGTTGTTTTATCATAAACTCGATCTCCAGCTGACATGTCGACCGACACGTTTCAAGTATGTTATTTCAATACTAAGAATGATATTATAGAGTCATATATAGATAAAAACATTCAACGCTGGAAAGGTAAACGTCTATCGTGCAGTAGGAAAATATTATAGAAGAGTGATATAAAGTATTTTTTAAGAAAAAAATCATGACTCTTATTTTATTTCTCATAAGTAAAACCTGAAACTTTCTACTTTTTTATATAACAAATAAAATTAGAGTTATGACTTTTTTTCTTAAAAAAATTGTTTTAAATCGCACTCTTGTAATGTTTTCCAAATGCTTGATAGACGTTTTATCTGCCCAGGGCCGTATGGTTTTTATTATATTTAATGTTTTTTATTATATATAATGGTTTTTAACCATCAATGGGGGAAAGCGTTGAAAAGTTCAATCCAGATGCGCAGCGCAGTCTTTTTACGCCAGACGTCCAAGTATGGTAAATAATAATAATGTGCCAAACGACTGCACTAATGACCTGGTGTCAAATTAGAGAATTTCCTGTACTACGACTACGGCTCAATTTACATTGCCGTAGAACGATATGGAATGGAACTTATGTAATCATAGCATAATGAGCTTTCTGTCAGTTGCGTAACGTACAAACTAGATACGAGCCAAAACACAGGTCTCGCGCCTTCCGGTTCATGGTCTCCATTCGAGAACATTTCTGCCCCAACGGCCGTCAGTTCTACGAACTATGTGCCCTGCCCACTGCCACTTCAACTTGCTAATCTTTTGAGCTATGTCGGTGCCTTTTGTTCTACGGATTTCTCAATTTCTGATTCGATCACGTAAAGAAATGCCGAGTATTGCTCGCTCCATAGCTCGTTGAGAGACTTTGAGCTTTTTAGCCTCGTACTAGGGAAACTCTATATCGCTGGTGACATGGACACACACATAGACAACCATAAATCACACTTAAACTCACGAGGCAAAGAAAGGTATGTTATATAAATATTTCTCCCGGCTCGGGAATCGAACTTCTCGTTCAGCCGCGGAGGATAGACAATGTTCATTTCCTAAATTGATCTTTACGGGAAGAGACCTTAAAATGTTGTCGTCAAAATATAGCAAATCACCTTTTTCAGAAGAATCTATAGTAATTCAGTAGTGGAGTGTCGAAGGTTGACTGCGCTGGAAAGTAAAAAAACAATATTTTTCCGAATAGATTTTATTCTTACAGACAATTCCATTATACTTTTATTATGTACTAAATACAGACAGACAATAGTATGTACCGACATATTATTAACACTTACATTATAGTACATACTTCTGATGTTTTATATATGACATATCATACCATTAATCACAATTTTCATACACAATCTGGTCGTCAAATTTAGTGCAATTCTCATTTGAATGCTTTATGAAACGGTCTTCTTTTATTTATTCCATCATTTAGTTACATACATAACAATAGAACGTTATAAATGATTTAGACACCAAGTGACAAGCGACACGCCTACCCATAACAGTTGCAGTGCCACTCAGGGCTTTAATTCGTAATGATTTAAAGGACACTGCCATCGCGTCCATTAAAGCACAAAGTAACTGAAATGCAAAAAATGCATGTGCTCTACTGCTGCTATATTACCACGTGTATTTGCTTTTTAAACATATTTTCAAGCTCTTTACGGATGCTAAGTTGGAAGGAAAGAGACGACGCAATCGATCAAATTAGCCGATGGAGTGATGAGGTGACCACATTTACAGGCTTCCCTGTAGCAAAAAGCTCTGAGAGAAGCCGAAAACAGAACTACATGGAAGGAAATGGTCTACAAAGTCTAGAACACCTTTCTTAGACACGACCTTCAGCTGCGAGGAATATGACCGAAAAAATGAAGACAGTTCTTATAGTCACGGCTGTAAACCAGAAAAAAAAACCGTTCGTTTCTATAAAAAAAAACAAATATACGCAAAATTAGATCCAAAAATAATTTATAATCTGCATATAGCACTGGGTGAGGAAATTATTTCTGTTGTAATACCAGGTGGTGTAGCAAAAATGTTTGTTCCCTTTACAAAACCAATATGGCGCACCGGTTTAGTACGAGGAAAAAGTACAACTACATAACCTAGTTATAGTTTCATTTGCAATGTGTAGTTATCGCGAAAACTAATAATAATTTGTACGTAATTGTCATGTTTTAAAAATTGTGATTAAAACTACAATAATTAAATTGTGACATTGTCAAATGAATACATGTATAAGTTTCGAATAAATAAAAAATAAGATAAATTAATATTTTCACGAAAAATTAAGACATTGGTTTAAAAGACAGTGGACAAGTGCCTGATTTCAAATCACATTATATTTATATAAATTCACTTTATATAAAAATGGCCTACATAAATTTAAAAATATAATGAATTTCACATACATAATTAAGTACATAATTATATTTAAAATGCATATTTCAGTAATGTTTTGTATTATATACAAACCTATTTATTTACATAATATAATAATGTTTTGCTTCTAGTAAATCGAGAATTGTGTCTATGCGTATACTTTCTGAGGAGACCACGGTTTATTTCAATAGAGTGCGTCAATTGTAGAGTTCGTACGTGGACCTCTATTACAGTGTCAAGTTGTAATCCAGTGAACTAGTTTTACACTTACAATCTTACAATGCAAAAAAAAGGTTAGATATAATCATGAATTGACAACGGTGTCAAAATTGATAGGATCCTTTTTCAGATACATTCGAAGAAGAATTTTATATTAATTGCTTAGATTTTCGATAAAAAGAGCATCGAGTGGGTCGTAGTTTTCGCCGAGCGAATAGAATGACCGATGTGAAAATGTCTGGTTATTTAGAAGTCGAAGACGGCATCCCATGAAAATCCTCTTGAAGGAATAGACCTATGCTCGGCGGTAGGACACTGGTGATGATGGCGGTTTAAGACAATTTTGAGCTCATTCCCCGCATTTTATAAAACATAAACCTTTAAAAAATTCACCAGAAATTCGTAAACTTGTTGATTTTGTCAACTACATACCTACTATGTGGCATAGACATTATGTCTCTAAAATTGTACTTACTTACAAATAACTAAAGATAAATACACAAACTTAAAATGCGTATCTTAAAATAGGAACCAAAGATAATTATTCAATATTTTCACATAGTAACCCCGATGGAAATAAATTAACTATTTTTATTTATTTAATTACTTAATAAATTATCGATATTATATAAAATTTCATTTCTGTACACTTATTTTTATTAATATTCACAGTAATAGCATATTCACAAGAAGAAAAACTAAAAAATAAAAGCATAATGACATTTTTTTACAAGAAAGGTGGTACACAAAATCCTACCTGACATTTATATATAATATGTTGAATACAATACATACAACCAACAGCCAGAACCAAATTAAATAGAAAGAAAGTGACCGAAATTTACTTTCACGTGTATTTTACATACCAAACGATCGAAGGATAAAAAAATTAGCACACTAATTACAAGTGTCTACTTAACGGAAAAAAGTTCTAGCTTTTCGTATAAGTCGGTTGTATGTTAAAAAGACAAAACAAAAGCAAAATTAGCACCAAGATAGGCAACTAAACTTAAAAACCGGACAGTAATTAAACTACCCAAATTGAAGACTACAAACGAGTTACAGTTAGAGTTTTGACATAACTAATTCTTAGTTTAAAATAAATAAACAACCCTTAATCGTTTTGTGACATTGACATTAAAGCGATGCGTAATTTTAAAAGTATTTTGACTCTAAAAACTGTTCTATATACATAATTGAAAATGTGAGTATAAATCTTAAGGATGAGAGCAGGCGCTTAGAGAAAGAAAATTAAACGACAATTTTGTATTAACTAAAATCTTAGTCACACCAAAACTCTATTCCATAAAAAATTCACTACCACGCTAAACGAAAAATCACATATACACTGCGTCCGAACACGTCTTTCCGTTTTAAAAAATAACGTTGCCACTAATTCAACGGTAACGTAGCACTGTTAATGCGATAACGTTGAATAACGAAATAACGTTACAAGTCCACTTTATAGCCCGTTGAGCCGCATCAGTCGTGGTAGTCACGCGGCTCCGGCTTCAGCTACCAGACCAAGCCCTCAGGATGGAGGGGAGGTGGGGCATCTCCGAAGGTGAACTCGGGCGAGGAAGGCCGGGGAAGAACGAGGTGGTCCGGGGGTGGAAATTGCTCCGGGAACTCTCCTCCAGGCAGCGACTCCATTCCTGCGAAACGACCTGCTCCCGTTATTACATGCTCCAGTGGAATATAATAGGATGAATGTATTTACCCAATCTTATTAATTTTAGTAACATATATATTATAGATTATTTATACAAATTACTTAAATATTTGCTAGCATGTTCAAATTTGTTTTGTGTAGATACAGGTCGCATTATGACAAACCTTCGTGGTTTAAAATGCGATTAGAAACATATTTGTGTATTTTGTCCTTTATGCAATAAATAAATAAAAAAAAAAATTAGGGTTGAGATATTTCAAAGATTGCGTTGTTCACAAACGTTATCATTACGTAGTAAAATATTCAAAAAAGCCTTAGTCCATCATTTACAAGATTTTATGTTCGTTATTGCTTGTGTCAATGGAGTAGGTATGTGCTAAATATTTAAGTACTTTATAGATGTTAATTCAAACAATAAGTTTACAAGCTTTTTGGAGCGGATTTCAAGCAAATATTAAAAACGTTTTCATGAATTTTAATTAGTGCTATAAAAATATATCAAAACTCCGCGTGTAAAATAATATACGTAACAACACGCCTGTTTGCCAGAAGTCGAAGAAACTAGGGATCAAACTCAACTTACTACAAAAGTAAAAGTATTCAAAAGTCTACCAACCTGGCTGATTAAAGGGCATAGCAGGGGGCGGGTGGAAAAACGGCGCATCGTGATGGAAAGGTGGCCCGTATCCAAACTCGAATTTCCCATCCGCAGTGGCGAAGTAGGGGAACCCTGGAGGTCCTTCTTCTAAACCTCCAGGGGAGAGATTCATTGGGAAGCCCCTCATCTTGCGCGAGGACCCGAAGAATGGACCACGGCCCATTGATGTGAGCTGCTTCAGACGTCTCTCTTTTGAACGCTTATTCTGGAACCACACCTGTAGGAAGAACATATTTATTGTTAAAGCTTTACTTCCATGACAGTCGATATTGGAATTAAGGATTTTAATTAATCAATTTTGCGCAACATTTTTTTTATATCTTAGTAATCTATTTGAACATCATTTAAGAGATTTGAAGAATTATGAAGTGTTGGATATCATATTTGGAGGCGGCAGATTTGATCACATAAAAAATGCTTCATTTTTTTAATATACCAACCAACTAGTTATTCTTCCGTGTTGTTATAATGTCTTCCGACATTTTGAAGAAATTTATATTAGAAAAGACGCCATTAGAGTATGAGTTAAAACAAATGAATTTAACTTATTTGCTTTAGTCGGTCGGTCTATTAACTGAATTATATTAGTTTTTTGATTCTAGATAAAGTTGTACTGGATTATAGTTTTCTATACAGTATGTTGAATTAAGTTTATATCACTGAATCATTCTGTACAATGAAATTAAATCGAGTGAAATGAAATAGTTTATTGGTAACAATATTACAAATTACAATTACATTGTTTATGTCACTCAAAATTCGTGATTACGTTGCATTATAAGGCGCAGTGTTTGTTATAAAAAAATATAATAATACATAATGTTTGTTACTACAACATTGCATGGTAGAGCTTTTGGTAGCCGCAGAGCTTGTGAAAGAGTTCGTCCAGGGAAGTATTGATACCGTATCTATTTTGGCTACCAAGCAGTAATGTGACCATTTCTGCGTTCCGGTTTTGATTTATCAATTTTATGTCTCAAGGTGACGGGTGTAATGTGGGAAGACGAAAAAATTCCATCTATTGGTCAAGAACCAAGTTTATTTACTTTAAAAAAAAGGACTTACATGAAAACATTGACGAATGTAAGCGAAACCAGAAAAGTTTGCCAGGATCGTAGAAAGTGGCGATCAGTAGTATCTAATCTACCTCAATGGGAACCCAAAGGCGTGAGTGTGTATGTATGCTTTAGACAAATTTACTATAAAGTAGGTAAGTCTTATCTCACATAATTTAAAAAGACACTGTGTATGCGACATCGAGTCTATTCACTCAACAACAGTTGTAGAAATATCGTAACTGTAAAAAAGTCATTGTAAGCAAATCTTAAGCAACGTTTCACATGAGTGGAAAACTGTTAAAGAAACATCAATTAGCGACACAGACAAATCATGCTTTAATTACGCGTAAAATGGACTGTGTGATTAACTCACACAGAGTAGTGTCGTTCCAGTAAGTTGGTTTAAAGAGGTCGATAAAATTTAAGAGAATAAATGCAAGTTCTACGTATTCATATTGTTGGCATTTGGTTAGTGGATGACCTTTTCTTTTTCTTTTTTTAAGATTCTAAGTGACAGGACGAACAAGTCATGCGCCTGGCTTGTAAGCGTCACGCCTGTCCATAACAGTTGCAGTGCCGCTTTGAGGGCACTGACACTGCGTCCGTCACCCTAAAACATAAGTTGATAAGTCTCATGTGCCTGTAATTTTACCAGCATACCATTCAAATTCGGAACGCAGTAACACTCGCATTACTGCTTGGCGGCAGAAATAGATAAGGTGGCAGTATTACCTTGGACGAACTCTTTCACAAGGCGCTCTACTGCTACGAACTTTTCATTCATCACGATTTTATAACTTGATGATGAAAACTCTAAAAGATTAATAACTCCTTTATATTTATTCTGTGGCAATACAGTAGTTACCAGTTAGTTAACAAGTTAACTAGGATTTATTAGAACTAAGTCATGACTGTCAGTTTAGTGAAGTAACTGAAAGTGAATCAATCTGTCTAATGGTACATTAATTGCCTGTCCTTGATATTGATGAGATTTTTTTGTTATTTACTCCTGTACGTTATGTGGAAGCTATACATAACCTGAAATTCGTTAGACGAAAGTAAGGTCAGAGAGGTGAGGTAGTTTTTAGCCCGAATAACCAATGTGTGCTTGTGTAAAGGAGGCTTAAGGCATGACGTCTCACGGCTAGCTACGTATTTTCGACGTCAACACACCTTTTGCGAATTCTAAGTTCTTTCTTTTTTTTTAGGCGGCAATTATACATAAATTGTTTTTTTTCTAATACCAAGTGACGGGACGAACAAGTCGTAAGTCTGGTGGTAAGCCTATCCATAACAGTTGGAGTGCTTGTGCCGATAGCAAAGATCTTAGAGGCACTGCGTCCGTCACCCTGAGACATAAGTCGACAAGTCCCATGTGGCTGTTATTTCACCAGCACCCTTACCCTTCCAAAACCCGAAACGCAGTAATGCTCACATTACTGCTTGGCGACAGAAATAGATAAGGCGGCAGTACTTCCCTGGACGAACTCTTTCACAAGGCTTTTTTATTGCTGCAGAAATTATAGGCACGTGGGATTTGTTAGCTTATGTCTCAGGGTGACGGACGCAGTGCCTCTAAGATCTTTGCTATCGGCACAGGCACTCCAATTGTTATGGATAGGCTTACCACCAGACTTACGACTTGTTCGTCCCGTCACTTGGTATTAGAAAAAAAAACAATTTATGTATAATTGCCGCCTAAAAAAAAGAAAGAACTTAGAATTCGCACTGCAAAGCCCGTAGTTGGATTTTTGAGATTCATGTAACGAAACGGGGCACCCCATGCTATCATATTCTGATGTTTAATATTACGGTGAAATGCTTTACTGTTTATGAACGGGTTCAACAAAAGGTCTTTAAGATGATTTATTTAGTAGCTTAAATTTGGATATATATTGTTCCAAAAACTTCGTAAAAATTAAATACATTTTCTATTGTCAACCAGTTTTGTTGCTAGACCCTAAACATGTAGCCTCAAACAGCTCAATTAACAAAATGCGTAACATTGGAATCTTTAGTGCCATTTCTGATGGCCTTGAAACGAGAAGGTCATAGAAACGATGCCAGTGATAATGGCCATCACACACGCGCGGTACAGTAAAGGCACTTACTGATTCGATGTGCTCGCACGGGACACTGACGCGGCTTGACGGAATAACACGCATTGGCATTTCCTTTGGTCATTGGCTATCGAATTCTTTATGGAATGTAAGATTTATGATTAATAAGGTGTATGATGCAATGATACAAGTTTAGGAGTAGTATATCGTACAAAGTAAGTGTTCATTACAGAACATAAAAGTTCTTAATAATATTTATACAGGGCGTCTCACGGCTATACCACAGCGAGGGAAAATACCTTAAATACCACAGACAGAAAATTTTACTGAAAGAAGACTTCATTTTAATTTTAAAAACAATTCCAATTGCATTCAAAGATTTTTAACTAATCGCCTGTCTGAACCGAGAATCGATCCCGCCAAATGCCAATATCATCATGCATGTATAATAGGGAAATGATATCTATTTTTTAAGTTTATACTCATTAGTAATACATTGAAATGACAATGTAAGTTGTTATAGGTGTGGCAAAGTCAGAGAAAAGGCTATTCATTTTCCTGAACAAAATTTCAAATTAAGTGTTAAATTTCATAGTCTTCCTTTTATTTAAAATGTTATGTTCTTTAGAAGTTGCAGTCGTCTTCACAAAGTCACAAGGTCATTCAAGGGGCAATGTATACGCTTCTATACTAATAAGATTCCGCATGATATTCAATATTTGGCATTTACTAGGCTTATAGTGAAACATTATACAGTTTCTGCGTACTTAAATGACTAAAATCCAGGGTAGAGACCCGTTTAGTTCTTACACGTTGTCTTGGTCTATCGTATTTGAAATAAATATTGTAAAAGATAAACGTATACAAAATATTTTTTACAAAGAGCAACCCTTCGAGTATCTTGCTTATTATTCTCAGGAGAATACGCCTTACGAATTAGTAGTAAAGTTTAATCAATATAATGATTTCAAGTGTGATTTGCTTACCTACGAAATAAGGATTATTTGAGTTTGATGGTCTGAGAAATGTTGCTATGTAGTCAACAGTGCTTCCAATAAAAATAATCAAGACGTACAAACAACAGCCTTATTGCGCCTTCCCGGCTGATAAACGACAATGGTTGTTCGACAAAGAACTTGCCGAAATTGTTCAGTAGTAGGTTGATGTAATCATAATAACATATCGTATTACAACGTACCGTATTCTATCCAGAATTTATTACATTTTCTTTATTTCTATAGCTTGTTCTCATGTCTCTACAAGGCATGGACTCTCCAAAAACTACCGCAGTAGGTGTCTAATACCATTATATAACAACCATTAATCAAAATCACCGTGTACTGTGTGAGCCACACCAGTCGGTAGTTGTTAATGTAATTCTTATTTAAATATCACAAGGACTGCTCAACTCAATTTGGTAGAGATATTTAGACGTTGTCGGAAGAACTGCGCTTGGTTTAGACGGGCAGGTGTTTACGTCTAGCTTTCTTTAGAGCAAGCGTATATGTGGTGAGACCGATGTGTCATAGATCAGTTGAATGCATAAGGTAACTTTGAAAGACATTTGCCTCTACCATGAGTTCACGGCAACAGGTGTCAAATATACAAAATGTTACTTGTTCTTATGACCGCTAAGCGCGTTTATGCACTGCGTTCGATTCATATTCGTTGCGAATCCGAGACTATACAAATCTAGAAAACTCGGACCCACTTCGCATGTTCGAGTTGTATGGAGTTCCAATCCGACAAAATACAAATAACGCTTGTACACCTAGAGATAAAACGATCCCTGTGACATTTGGAACCGTTATTTTTCGGATTCGGAACTGGGGGTCTACTCTCGATCTCCGTCTGACATCCGTCCGAAACAATTACTGTCAAATAAGCACTATTCGACAAAATTAAAAGACAAGTTCAAGTATGAAACTTCATTCGCATCACGCGTCTTTTCATTTGGTCAAGTATTGCTTATTTGGCAGTAATTGTTTTGGACGGATGTCGGACAGAGAGTTCGAGAGTAGACCCCCTGATACGAGTCGGACGTAGTGCGTAAAGGCTCTAATAAGGGTGCTGTTCAATTTTCCATATTGTCAAACATT